ATGTACAAAACCCCCACAGAACAATGCGAGTTAACAAAAGCGCACAGCATGTCATTTTCAACAGTTCACACAATCTTGAAACTTTATTGCATTAGAAACAGCGTTCCATCTCGAGTTTTATTCAGTCCTCCCCCCATCCATTACAATATGCAATTTAAGCTCCCCAGTGGGGAACTGTTTCTTGTAGCAAAAAGAAAAACCATCTCTTAATACTTACACCATTGATAATGGACAATTACACTTTTCTAAGTTTCATAACCAAGAGGATGCATAGCTCTTTGTTTTTAGCTCATAACATGCACATTTTAAAAGGTCTTACGGAAGACATACAGAAGGCACCGTAGGCTTCAAAATGTGGTTAAAAAGAGCTTGTTTCTGAACTGTTACTATATATGAAAACCACAATAGTAATACAGTTAAGGGTTTTTTGTACTGAAGGATTGCTTAATGGCCCGAAGTTAGGTTTCGTTTGAAAATAAAAAATATGTTGAGTATTTAATACATGCTTAGAAGCATCCTGAATCATGAATTGCCATGATATAACAACCAACCTACTTTGAAGCAAGATATATTATAGTCTATGTAAGTTATATATTCATAAGGGCTGTTATAGAAGTAATTGCTTTAAAAAAAATAGGACTGAAAAGCTGGGGTGTATATATTAATGCTTGTAACTATAGAAGACCAAAGCTGTCTGAACAGAGGGATATAATTCATGTTACTATTTTTTGGCTTTGGTTTGCACATACCACCTTGTAGCATTCTAGTAGCATTCACTTACTGCAATAAGTTTGTCCCAAGCAACTTACTGTGCACAAACCATTTTAACTAAAGATGTTTTCCTCTTTTACAATTACACATGCTCAGGAGTTCTGTATTGTCGGCACAGGTATTAACGTAGAGCTGGGTTTGAGTAAATCATGCACTGTTACTGCAGTCTAAACCCATTCATTTCAATAGACTGCATAGGATTGCCCTGTAAGTGAGCTACAACAACACGCAATGAAATTCTATGTAGCAGCTGCTCCACAATTTAAGGCTACAATTTTACATGTTCTTACTCTCATTATTTCCAAACATTGCATAAGATCTAGCTACATGAGTACAACTTAAACCACTTTGTAAAGCATTCTCTTTGTGATTAACACTTGCCCTTCCCTTTGCTCTCACTTAAATGATAGACAATAGTTGAGCCTGCTTTGAGCAAGCTCATGTTATTTGCCTTTACTCTCTCCTCTGCAGATTGCTTTGGTGAGAGATTCTGGTTCAAGGTTTTCTAAAAAGTTTCTCAGGGGTTAAAGTGTTTGTAAACAAACTGAATCTATAGCTTGCGTTTTTGTTTAAAAAACCTGCCCCCCAAAATGTGGTTTGGATCCTATTACTGTTAGGTGGATCTGTAACTGGTTGACAGATCATACCCCAAAAGTTCTTGTGAATGGTTCCTGATCCTCTTGGAGAGGAGTGACAAGTGGAGTGCCTCAGGGATCATCTGTCCTGTGACCTGTTTTGTTCAATATCTTTAACAATTATTTGGATGTGCAGATGAAACTAAATTGGGAGGGGTAGCTAATATGGCAGAAGACGGTGCAGGATGATCTTGACAGGATGGAAAACTGGGATAAATGTAATGTTCTGCAGTTAGGAAGGAAAAATCAAATGCATAACTATAGGATGGGGGAGACTTGTCTTGGCAGTAATAGGTGCAAAAAGGATCTAGGTTTCTTATTAGACCATACACTGAACATGAGTCAGCAGTGTGATGTGGTAGCTAAAAAGGCAAATGCAGTTTTGGGCTGTACCAACAGAAGTATAGTGTCCACATTACATGAAGTGATGGTATCACTTTGCTCTGCTCTGACTTCACTTAGAGTATTGTGTTCAGTTTGGGGCACCACAATTTAAGAAGGATATAGACAAGCTGGAACGTGTCCCTAGGAGGGCAACAAAGATGGTGAGGGGTCTGGAGACCAAGTCCTATGAGAAAAGGTTGAAGGAGCTTGGTATGTTTAGCCTGGAAAGGAGATGACTGAGAGGTGATATGATAACCAAGTACTTGGAGGGCTGTCATATAGAAGATGGGGTGGTTTTTTGTTGCCCCAAAAGGTTGCACCAGAACCAATGGGTTGAAATTAAATCAGAAGACTTTGGCTAAACATTAGGAAGAACTTCCTGACAGAGCAGTTCCTCAGGGTAACAGGCTTCCTCGGGAGGTGGTGGGCTCTCCTTTGGAGGTTTTTAAACAGTGTCTAGATGGCTGACAGCAATGCTGATTCTGTGAACTTAGGGAGTGTAGGAAGGGTTGCATCAGTGCTTAATTCTTGTGGCCCTTTCTTACACACCCAGGGAAATGCTGATCGCCATTTGGAAAACCAACATACAACAGATACCGTGCACAGATGAATTTGGAGTCAGGAAGCAATTTTTCTCCAAGCCAGTTTGGCTGGGGATCCTGGAGGGTTTTTGTCATCTTATGGGCATGGAACACTGGAGGTGTGTGGGGGGAGGTAGTTGTGAATTTCCTGCATTGTGCAGGGGGTTCCAACTCCATGATTCTAAGTCGCACCCCTTGATGTCAGGCTAAGGCTATTTAGATATTTACTGTATTTTGAAATACAGATTCTCAATAACTATATATCATATGGATTGTATTCTAAGAACCTCAGAGCTCTGCTCACAGAAAGAGGATTTCCCACTGTAATCTCTTCTGAAGGTCTACGTCAACACAATGGGGATGTGGCCCAGGGGGCAGCATCTGGAAGTGGGAATATACAGAAACCCCAAGATCTCCACTGCCTGAGTAGAAGTGCTTTCTACTAGTTTAAGAGAATGACTGGATCATACCTACAGTCCCAAGTATATGGAAGCAAAATCTTTCTGCACATGTAAAATTGGGGGGGGGGCGGCGGTTTAGTCTCAACTGAATTCAAACAAATCTTTGGAAAAAAATAAACAGCAGTTCATACATCAGTGTAAGTGGAAATCCAAGGACTCACTATGTTCAGATCCCCCCCCCCATGTTTGAACATTGTGGCTGAGAAAACATTTTGTTAATTTCACAGAATTCATTATACTTTTAAAGGAGAAGGGGTGATATATCCCCACCCCAAGAGTTGAGACCAATCCACATATCACCTGAGCAGTTGGGGAATGGCAATGCTGCTCCTTCCTATGCTGTTGAGATAACATTAGAAACCCCTGAATGCACAGGAGGAAACCAAGCTACAGTTCTTTCTGTTAACACCTTATCTGTTGGAACACAACCACAAGTAGGTAGCTGTACATAGTACAAGGTTTTAAAATATTTTGCTCCCTTCTGTGACTCAAATATAAATTAGGGCTGAAATATTTTTCTACATAGGTTCAAGAGCCGCAGTTACATGCAACTGCCATACAAACTGCTCCTGATGACATATCAGCTATCCTGCATAAACACTGAAAGTGGAAAGAAGCCTTCTTAAACAAAAACATGGTTGCTTACCACGGTTATGAAAGCACAAACATACATAAGTGTATTTTCAAGGATTTTTATTAATATATAATAAGTTTGTTATTTGGGGAAGAGATGTGGAGGAGACATGTTTTAAAAAACAATTCTATAGCCCATGTATCAGAGACCCCCCCCTTCAATGCTTCCAGCAACTGAACAACAGGAAAAGGAGCATTTAAAGTGACGTAATGGTGAGACATTGTTTTCATACTGTGCTCTGTAAAGGTATGGTATTCACATTAAAAACAAATTCCTGGTAAATTTAATTTGAAACTTGGTTTAGTATCAACAGTTAAAAGACTTATTTGAATTAAAGCACCCAAAAATGTGCTCTGACAAAAATGTGCTCTGACAAGTGCAAAACTCACCATTTTATTGAAAAGGCTGAGACTACTAGAATGTTCAAAATCCTGCTGTGCTATGCAGTACATGTTCCTCTACTGACACTACTGAAATGTGAAAGATGACTGTGGACAGAGACTGAGAATATGTTTGTGCTGCAGTTGGATCCTGCAGATTGGATCTGTTTCACTAGCAGCAGTGCTTTCTCCAAGTGGAAGGCTTCTCCTGGAACAAAGCGCCTCTGCTAGTGGAACTGGTCCACAGAAACCAACCAGTTCTCTACAGAGCTCTCCTGGTGGACTCACTTCATAAGGCAATGTTTGTGGCCTCAATGTCCAAGTTAAGCATGAAGACTGCCGCCCAAGTGCCTTCTGTGTTAAGCCTAAGTTTCACTTTGCAAATGGCAATGGCTTGGCTCCACAGACACAAGATACCATTTCCTTGTTGCCCATTCCACTGCATCCCCAGTGCGGTATTCTGTTCTGCTACCAACCTGAATAGTCTTTGGGAAAACATGGAGGCTATAGAAGGGGGAAAGCCAATCACTGCATGAGCAAAATGATCACTGCGTGAGTGATGCTTTCTGGATCCATGCCAATCTCTACTGCAGTCAAGCCAGGGGAACTGTTAATGCAAGACATTTTTTTCTACTCAAGATCAATTTAACCAGAGATATTAAAATTGTTAAGACTTAAAATCAGCTTTTTTCACTCTTGGTAAATATATCTTCAAGTGTGAGATTATAAATATATTTATGATAGAATTATTTAACTTGGGCAGTGCAAAAAAGAATTGTCCCACAGGTTAGAAAGATGAGCAGGAAGGAATGAGGCATTAGTGCACTTGAAGCTTCAAGCTTTGCCCCATATATAGATATATATGCATATATTTCTTTTACACAAAATGCTAAAAATTTATATGATCAATATTTATTTCACACCGTTTTATGTACCCTAGATTAATTTATATTCCCCATGATAGAACTGCCATTCTATAATGGAATTCTTCCATTGTAGAGTGACAACTACCATACAGTCACTCAGGGCAGGGACCCGTCATTGTTTGGAAGAACACAATGTTGTATGTACAGTTTTAAAACTCTTTGAAGTAGGAAACTATGAACAGAGAAAATATTAAGTTTTACAAACAGCCAAAATTAAGGCTGTGGGGTTTTTTTTACTAACTGGGACAGTGATGGTTTTTCAAAAAGAAGAGTATACAGTTTGGTCTTTTGACCCAAAGGAAAAGATTTTCCATTCACACATCAAATGAACAATAAGTATGTATGTACATGCAAAACACATCCCTCTTTGAACAGGGGTCGCTCCATAGGCAAAGAGATTAATTTAAGATGCTCTTAGGTCTGTTATAAAATATCCCACTGCTCCGAGTCTTTAGAGAAAGGCACCAAACAAATGCCAGTGGACACATTCTTCTCTTTTCAACATGAGGCTGAGAAAGGTTAAAAGGACAGAGCAACACTGAAGGTGGACAGTCCACTCAAGACCCATATGCTTCATACTGATGTACTGACTCCAATTCATTGGTACATACATTATCAGCTGCTGTAGAAAAGTGCCATGGTGACTCCTGAACTGGATTGTACGTCATAGTTGGAGTTGTGGAGCCCGCATCAAAATCGACATGTTGCCAGATCTGCCTCTCCCATGTCTTGTGGATGGTTTGCCACATCTTCTCTGTTGACTTTATATGACAGGTGCTCCAAAGCACTTCCTACACCACTCGACACTGCTGCTGGGTGGAGCATCTATCTTCTGCATCTTTTCAACCACCTCACTTGGGAGGCTTTTATATGCTGCCCTGTATTCATTGTCAAAGGCCTCTGCAAGTAAGGAAAGCCACATTTGAGGCAAAACTTTCCAAAACAGCCCTAGCGCATTGTTGCACCAGTGGAAAAACTGGTAGCATCCAACACCTTGTTTTAAGCTTGTCACAGGGTGTCAAAGGTCTAGGAATTCTTTCAAATATCAGCAGACACTAAAATGCCAAGCATTCTTTGTCTATTTATTTAAAACATTTATTAGCCACCTTTCTTCCATACAGAGCTCAAGGCGGCTTATAACATAAATAAAACTCATAAATTTAAAAAAATCACATCTCAGGAATGCTAGTAAATGTAATCAGATATGGTCCTAAATAAAACTGTCTTCAACTACTCCCTAAAGATTGAAAGTTAGGGGGCAAGTACGCTTGCCTCAGGAGGTTGTTCCACAATTGTGGAAGGGGCTAGTGAAAAGTCCCTCTCTCATGGACTCACCAAACAAGCTTCTTTGATTGATGGGGCAGTCGAGAGGGCTTGAACCTGTCTGTCAAGGGAGTTGTCTTTTTCAAGATGGAACAGTAACTTGGAAACCCATGAAGGATTACTTCACATATTAATACAATAAGGACATTTTCCTTAACCCACAAAAAGGAAATTAGTAGTATATGTGCACAAATCCATATTGCTTACCAATGTCAATATTCTCCCTCCCAAGGGACACCAGGGAGAGAAAGAGGATCTCTCTGTAAAAACTCCTGTAAAAGAGTCATTCAGAAGTTAAAGCAAAGTCAATCTTTTCTGTAAAAAGTGACACAATTTTCTAACCACTATACCACATTGGCTTATGTATCTTTTCCTTATTGGGATTACTTGCCCACCAGCACCTTGAAACTTTGCCTCAATGTTAGACACCCAACTAGATTTCAGAATTGGCAGCTATTACCTCTGCTGCTCTATTCTCTCTTTATTGGACCTCCAGTCTCTCCTCTCCCCTATAGCAATGGATGCCTGAAGTAAACTAGCTCTTTAGTCGGCATAATACCCAACTGATAATACCCGACTGATTGAGACTTCCTCAATCACATTGCCCACATAAAGTTTAATATTCTCAAATATTTTTATCCAGTTCTCAGCATCCCTTTCAAGCCTGCAGCATCCCTTTGCCACTTTGTCAGAGGTCTCTTATGACCAGTGTGTGGATCCCCACCTAGATTGGAAGGTTTTGTTTATAAAATTTAAGCCAGGTGCTCCCTAAATACAGATCAAAAGAGGATGGACATGAAAGCAGGCCAGTCACGTGGACATGCGTCTAAAGGTACAGGCAGCTCTCAACTGTGCAGGGCAACAGAAGCGCTTAGAGTGGTAACAGTGCTTGAGGAAGCACACCTTCAAATCCTCACTCAGCCATGAATTCACTGGGTGACCTTGAGCCAGTCACTCTCTCTCTCTCAACCTAGCCTACCTCACGAACTTGCTGTGAGAAGAACAGGAAGGGGGGAGCGATGTGCACCACCTGGAGTTTCCCTTCTCCCCAAAACGTTTGTTGCTGATTAAGTTATATTATTTCTTGTTTCTCTTTAACTGTTTGGAACTCAAGACAGTCACAGGTTTCCTAAGCAAAATGGTTTTACAGTTCTCAAGGGTGGACTTATCTACCAAAATCTTCCATTGTTATCTGAAAATGGTGGGTCCCAAGAAAAACTGCTCCAAATGAGAGTACATGTTGCTTCATTCCAGCTGGTTCTACTGAGCCATGTACCATTTTAATACAGTTATCAGTATGCAAGAGGCATGACCAATAAACAGCACTTAAACTTTCCCTCTTCTCTACCAACACTGTCTGCGCATAAGCATCTGCAACGTACTTTTGATGCAGCAAAAGGTCTATCCTGGTCAACAGCAGAATGCTGCTTATGTGTGCACCTATGGATGCTAGGATGCTTCAAGACAGCAGCTACCCTTGAGTAGGTTTTCGCTGCTGGTGAAACGTCAGGTACCACAATGCCAAGACCAAGCTTGGAAAATCTACAACAACTAATGAACTCCGGCCGTGAAAGTCTTCAACAGCATATTACCCTTGAGTTTATTTGTCAGGTGCACCATGGCACTCCCCTTTACCTTTGTCGCTTGCCATTGTGCTTTTGCTGTACAAGGAGATTGATGGGTTTAACAACATCATTGTGCTGAATGCTTAGCCTGATATTTTCAACTAAAGTGCTTATTGCTTGCTGCTCGTCTGAAGCTATTGAGGGTTTCTTCTCCGTGGAATCTGTAAGATGAAAACACCAAAACACTGGAAAAGACTGTAGGGGGACAGAGGGTCTCTCTCTCTCTCTCTCTCTCTCTCTCTCTCTCTTCCCTTCCTTTCTTATTTAATTTGAATCCCAAGAAAATCCATTTTCATCCTTTAAAAAGTAAAAATTCTAAATTCTAATGTTGAAGAGACACAAAACTTGGAAACTTCTGATGTTATGTAACTTAAACTGTTCTCAGTGTAAGAAATAAGCTTCCTGATCATCAACTAGACCGGCCGCTTTCCCATGTCACTGCAAGACTATTTCTGGAACAATCTGTGACATCAGCGCACAAAGGATGCACTTGCAGCTGGCTGTGGGCTGATGCTTATATCCGTTGCTCTTTAAGCGCTACCAAAGAGATCTGCTATTCAGAGGAGAATGAAGATTTTCCAACAGCACAAGCGCTTCCTGTCCATTGGCCCTCTATCGTCACGGACATTTTACTCACTGAGATTTCTCCACGATATATACAAGGGCTCCCCAGGCTCCTGGTGAAGATTGATGTTGTCCCAAAGTAGCTGGATATACACTAGCTTGCTGTCTTGAGACAAATTGGACAGAGGAAGCTAGATGGGAGGAAACAAACTCTCTTATCAATTTGCCAGTAATTCTGCAACACTAAATACAACATGCTAGTGCGGTGTAGTGGTTAAGAATGTCGGACTATTACTTGGGAGACCTAGGTTTGAATCCCCACTTGTGCCATAGAAGCTCACTGGGTGACCCTGGTCTAGTCACACTCTCTCAACCTAACCTACCTTACAGAGTGGTTGGGAGAATAAAATGGAGGAGAGGCAAATGATGTAAGCCACTTTGGGGAGAAAGGCAGGGTATAAATGAATCAAATAAATAAAGATTTCCATTCTGGGCTAGCTGAATCACCAACAGTTGCCTTAAAAACCCAGAATGTACCTTCAAATCAACCCAAATTCTGAAATGATTTCGTCATGTGCAGAAGTTCATTCATACAAGAGACTGAGGAAAGTCACCTGCTTATGTTATGACTGTTTACTTGGAAGTGTGTCTCCAGAGTAACAAGCCACATCCCTGATAACTGCGTTTCTAAACTGAAACACGTTATGGACCACCACTTAGGGCAAAACAACTGTGACACTGGAAATCCATGTCTGGATTTCCAGACATGTAACTGAACTGCAAAACAGCAGTTGTGTTGGACTGAATTTGGAGTAGGGCTGTGGCATAAAGAAGGAATTTCCTTCTTTCCCACTCCCAATCTCACATTTTACTGATGTACATTCTGAGAGGGAATCTGTTTTCATCCCCTTCTCAGGACTTAAGGCAATTGGGGCAGGGTTTTTTACCAAATGACAACTGCATGGAAGAATCCCCTCCCCCTTTACCAATCATTGACATTCTGATTTCTATTTCCCCAGGACTACAGTTGAAGTTCAGTCGCACACCTGGGGAATCCAAGAATGGATCCCAAGCATCACATGCCCTTAAAGATGGCCAACCAGAGTTCATTCTGATGACACTTTGTTATTTTCTGACTGATCAAGCTCTTTAACATTAAAGTGGAGGGATGGCATCCAAAGTTTGAACGTTACTGTGAGGCAAAGCTGGATTTCGTCATACACTTAAGGGTTAAGGTTGCTGTTGACTGTCTCCCTTGCAGATGGTGTTAAGGTGGCCATGCTGGCCTGCCTTCTTATCATCTCTCAAGGATGTAACATCACAGCCGAAAATTAGTTTCACATGAGAACAGTTCTTTGAGATAGGAGGGGTAAGAGTAGGATGTATGACGTGAGGTTCTGGAACCATCTTGAAGCAGCGCATATTGATTGGTTGTTGCTCTCACCTGATCCCCTGACCCTAAAGTATAACTGTAACACAGTTGGTAATACCAGCTAGCTACCTGAGATTCTACATGACTAAAGACCTGTCTTGCTGCTTTGCAAATGTTGGAGATACAGACCACTCTACACAGAGGCCTACACTTCTGAACCTAAGTTTCGTGCTGCCTGATCCAGAGTATAGTAATTCAGGCAATTAAGGCAGCCTTTGTTCTTTTTTCTTGCATGACTTTTAGAACCATGTTGGCTTGAATTTGCCTTTCTTTGTATTTATATATATAAATGTATGTATAAAATGTACACACACATATAAATATATAGATATAACATTTGAGTTTTATGGCTTCTTATCTGCACCTACTCTGGGAGGACTCACTGGGTGAGCAACCCAGTATCCTCACAGCTACTATCTAAAGTTAAACAATTTGGTATCTTATTGATCTCTACAGAAGAGTCAAACGCATGCTTAGATTTCTTCCGTGGAAACCATGAGAACTTAAGTCTGGCTGGATCATGCTCTAAGCTTGTTAGTATCTTCATAATATGTTCTCATCTTTGCTCAACCAGCCTTTTAACTTCAGTGTCCTTTTCGCAACCAACATTCAGTTCAGCAAGTTCAGAACACTTTTAAGCAATGCTGTTTACTGTTATTGGCATTTGCGGCTATTCGGTGGTATTGGTACTCTCTACATTGCAGTTCAGAGATAACAGGATACTGGTGCAAACACACACACGCACACCAATCCCCCTCAGTGTCTTTGGATTGCCTCCTCTTTACATAACCAAAGATGTCAACCCAAATGCTCTAACATAAACATGGGCCTTGGAGTCAACCTACCTGGACACCCTCATTGCAGTGTTCTGAAGTCAGAATGAGCCCTGGCAAGTTACTTGGGAGATCCAAGCGACGGAAACACCACACTAAGTTCCAGAAAATAATGGGATGTTGATTGATAAATGTTGAAGTGTGGATCACCTGTTCTCCTTCATTCTCCAGCAAAGATTCCAACTCTTTTCGGAGTACCAAAGGGCTCAAATAGGGCACAGATACAGGTAAAGGATTTGGCCTTTTTGCTATGGGATCCTGGAGAACATTGGCAATAGTTAGTTTGCAAACTAAGAATGGTGGAGCAGTTTCCCTTATTAAAATCTCAAAGAGCCAATAACCCACATTACTCTTGGAGCAGAACACAAGCTATAATGCAAATTTGATTGTAAATAGTATGATGATGATTAAACCAGTACTTACTCAAACAATAATTATGTAGTGTAAACTACATTATAATTAAAGCTTAAACTGCATAAGGAAATCTCTCAGACATGCCCCTTCTGTACTTTCTCCATCTCAGGAGCACCACAGAATTTCCTGTATGCTTACTGCAAAAATCCCTCTTGATTCCTAGGGAAACTACACCCTCTCCCCCCAATGCTAATGCTCAAAGATGCTCTACACTACAAAGGCTGACTGGTGGCACCTACACTGACTAGCCATTAGCTGAAAACAAATTAGATTAACAAGGAAATATGATCAAGAATTTACCATGGCCTCCTGTAAACTGTTAGGAAGGCTAACTGTTGAAATGCAATGAGACGGCCTCTGCAACAGATCAATATTTTGCAGGGGGCCACCAACACTGTGGCTCCGAGTCAGAGAAGCTCCTCGCTTGGGTGTGTTATTTGCAGCAGACGGACGCGCAGGTCTGAGGTCCCCACTCTCTTCTGCTATCCTGCTGCTTGAAAACAGTGCAAGAATATACAGGTGGTAAAATATTAACTTCCTCATGCTCACAGCCTTGGCCTCTGCACTAATTGAGTTTCTTTTTAACTTTTTTGGGGTATTTTTTATATGTGTGTGTGAGTGAGTGTGTGTGCACCTGGAAGTCATAGCGACCTCTGGTGACTGACCCCTCCTGGGGGCCTGGAGGATTATTCAGAGAGGTGGCTGAATAAAGCCTGCCCCCGCCTCCCGACTGCTGGTATTCCAAGGAGGTCTCCCATCCAAGTACTTGCCAGAGTCGACCCTGCTTAGTTTCCAAGATGTGACCAGATTAGGCTTGCCTGGGCTATCCAGGCCAGGGCCGCTAGTTTCTTGTACACCAGAAGCTCGATGAAACTGGCAGTAGTGAAGAAGGCAAACTCCAGGCTGGGCAGTATCAGGAAAAGAAAGGAAAATATAATGGTCAATATTGTAGAGCCCCTGTATAGATTTGTGAACATAAAAAGAGCCCTGCTGGATCAGACGAGTGGTCCATCTATTCCAGCATCCTGTCTCACACAGTGGCCAGCCGGTTCCTCTGGAGGGCCAACAACAGGGCATAGAGGTCAAGACCTTCCCCTGATGTTGCTTCCTGGCACTGGGATTCAGAGGCTTAGTGCCTCTGAATGTGGAGGTCCCCCACAGTCACCATGGCTAGTAGCCACTGAGACCTATCCTCCATTAATCTATCCAACCCCCTTTTAAAGCTGCCTATTCCTGTGGCCATCACTACACCCTCTGCCAACGAATTCTACATTTTAATCACGCTCTGTGCAAAGAAGTATTTCCTTTTCTCCATCCTGAATCTACTGCCCATCAGCTTCATTGGATGTCCTCGAGTTCTAGTATTTGGGTAGAGGGAGAAAAATTTCTCTTTGTCAACTCTCTCCACCCCATGTCCCTCCCTCAGTCACCTCTTTTCTAAACTGAAAAGTCCAAGACTCTTCAGCCTTTCCTCATAGGGAAGGTGCTCCAACCCTCTAATCATCTTGGTTGCCCTCCTGTGTACTTTTTCCAGCTCTGTGATGTCCTTTTTGAGATACAGCAACCAGAACCGTAAACAGTATTTCAAATGTGGCCGCACCATAGATCTATACAAGGGCATTATAATATCAGCCGTTTTATATGCAACTTAAATGAATTATATGTTGTCTTCCCTATCCCCCTATGAAAAACATTGTTAGTCCCCTATCTAAAGAATAACTGTAAATCACTTTGAGCCCACTTGTGGGGAAAGCGATTAATAAATCGAAAGCATTATTATTATCATCATCATCATCATCATCATCATCATTATCCCTATCATAGAGTTTGCCTTTTTTACCACTGCAGCACACTGGGTTGACACTTCCATTGAGCTATCCACTATGATCTCAAGATCTTTCTCCCTCTCAGTCTCAGCAAGTTCAGACTCCATTAGCCTATACTTGAAGTTGGGAGTTTTTGTGGTACAGCCTCATCTGGAGTTCTGCTTGCCATATCTCAAGAAGGATATTGTAGAACTAGAAAAAGTGCAGAAGAAAGTAACCAAGATGAATAAGGCGTAGCCTAGAAAGGGAAGGCTAAAGAGTCTGGGTGTACTGGTTAAGTGCGCGGACTCTAATCTGGGAGAACCGGGTTTGATTCCCCACTCCTCCACTTGCACCTGCTGATGTGACCTTGGGCAAGCCGTAGTTCTGATAAGAGTGGTCCTTGAAAAAGAGCAGTTTCTGTCAAGAGCTCTCTCAGCCCCACCTACCTCACAGGGTGTCTGTTGTGGGGAGGGGAAGGGAAAGGAGTTTGTAAACCGCTCTGAGACACCTTTGGGTAGTAAAGGGTGGGGTATAAATCCAATCTCTTCTCTCCTCTTCTTCTCTAGAAAAAAGACTACTAACCAGGAGGGGAATATGACAGAGGTTTATAAAGTAATGCATAGGATGAAGAAATTTTCTCCCTCTCCCATAATATGTCCAAAAAAGATGATGGGCAGTAGATTCATGATGGGCAAAAGGATTTTTTTTAACTCAATGAGTGATTATCAAATTGTAGAATTAACTGCCAGTAGATGTAATAATAATCATGAACACAGGTAGCTTTAAAAGGAGATTAGACAGATTCATGGAGAACAGGTCCATCCATGGTGACTAAAGAGAACCACCATATACAGCGGAAGTGGGCCTCTGAATACGAATGCTAGGAAGCAGCATCCTCTATGCCCTGTTTGTTGGCCCTCCAGAGCAAACTTCCTGGCCACTATGTGAATCAAGATGCTGGACTAGATGGACCACTGGTCTGATTCATAAGGGCTCTTCTTATGTTGCTTATAAGTCAAATTTCCTTGAAAATTTTTGTTAAACAAAAGCTTACTAGGGTATTAAATATAGAATAGCCATGTGCAATATTGAAGAAGCGTGACCTTGCTTGAAAGGGTATGTGGCTTCAAGTCTCCAAAACCTACATCCAATCAGTCATTCTATTCACTGACTCTATGAGTTAAGTGACTCAAATAATACTGATTTTTACACTCTGCTAAGCATGCTACCATTCCAGCATAAGCTTGTTTCTAACAGTCTTGAATGCCATTCTTATTCCTGAAAAATCAGAGTCCAACAAGTTTCCCCAGAAATTAAGATTTCTGTACCTTTGCATAGCTGTGGTGCTGTTTTCTTCAACAATGGTTGGGTTGGTATTTGAGGGTTCTTCAAAACTGATCAAATCAGTTGCAGTCTTCTGCTCCAGAGAATCAGAAACAGTCTTCTGCTCCAGTGAATCAGTGGTTAATGGAATGTTACTGCTGTGTAAACTATCACCAGAGGTACTTGGTTTCAAAAATAAGCTAGTAAGATAACAAGAAAAAGGTTAGAATGCATCATGCTGGTTTTTGCTTTATCTAACTGTACTCCCAAACAGTGTTCCCTCTAAGCCGCGGAGTCTTGTGAGCAAAAATTCTACTTTGTGAGCTACTGGCATTAAAGTTGTGAGCACGCGATTTGGCTACTGCATAAATTAGTGTGCTCTGGAGCCCTCCTTCCTGAGCTAAGACAAAAACGTGTGAGCTGGAGGCTAAAAAATGGTGAGCTAGCTCACACTAACTCAGCTTAGAGGGAACACTGCTCCCAAACAGACCAGGAATCAATTTATAAGTGTACAGAAGATCATAAGACAAAAAGGAATATCAAGCCAAAAAGTCCACAAATGAACTACAAGCACCCCCTCATGCTATTGTACAAAATAAAATCTTATCTGCCTTCAGAGACATAACCAAGAGAGAAACAATTTACATAGTGTTACAAAGTTTAAATTCCATTATCCCAATTACTACCCAAGTTAACATGCCATTAGCTGCTAATGACAAAACATGCAAATACATAATCAGCGATTAATGGCAAAAAATGCTGCCCACAGCAAGCCTACCAACCTTGCATATCCACGCAAGTCTTTAAACTCCACATTAAGAAGAGGTAAGAAAGTGCTTTTGCAGAATGGGCAGGTAGTATTCAAATTAGAGTCATCTGCAGTCCATCCTGCCATGATTTCTTCATCATAAACTAGTGCTCCACATACGCGACACTGAGAACAGCTTGACATTAAGACCTGCCAAAAACATTTTGTACACGGACAGAAAGAAAGGGTAAGGGAGTAAAGAGGCAGACAGGCAGCTCAAAACATTTGGCACTTGGTTCTAGTTTTTGAGTTGTTCTGCCCACTGTGGGGTTTTGTCCTTCAAATCCTATCCCACTTTACATCCAACAATATAACCACTTTTTGAAAGGCGTCTGTACTCAATCGTAAAACCAATCTTGATCACCATGGTTTTAGCACTGCACATAAGCAGTGTCTAAAAAGCTATTCTGGTTTTTTAAAAAAATCTTTAAGTAACAGCAAATTCTACAGAGAACATTTTAAAAAGGATTTAAAAAAAAAAAGATAACACTTTTGTATGTTTACAAAATTCCCAGGGAAGATTCTGAGATAATTCCAGTGGGCATTTTTAAAGGCAGCTTTCATTTCCGTAAAGTAAAACAAAGCCTGATACTACCAGATACTGAAAGGTTCCTGCAAAATATAAAGCACATCCTTAAAATGATCAATGTTACCTCCATTGCACAGTTCTGGAAGATACTAGACAAACTGGTGTTCTGGGAAGAGCCATGTTCAGACTTTTCAAAATCCACACACTTCATACCTCTAGAGAATGGAGCTTCACCTGTATAAAAATACAAGGCAACTACACTTGAAGTTTAGGTAGCAGCAATGAAGACCTGCTGTAACAACACTGAAATGAGTGATGCCATCATCTTTTTGAGATAAACAATCATTTAATTTTAATTGCTTTCATTGTTTAACATTCAAATGAAACTCTTAATCTCTTAAGACTATTTGTGCTCATAAGAGATAGTTTTTAAAAACACACTGAGTGGGACCCAGCCAGCACTTCTCAATCTCACTCAGTTCCCTTCCTTACTACCACCCCTATTCCATGTGTCTTTTATCCATGGTCCCCTGATTCCCAGCAAAGCCAGTGGGGTACCCTAAAGACATTCCTTGATGCCTTTTTCACCAATGGAAAAGCTGGTGAAGGAGACTCATTGTACAGCATTTCTGAAGGGATCCTGACTGCTGGTTGCCAGTGCGTGAACTCACATGTGTTCTCCTCTCACAAAGCAGCATGTTGGGATGGTTTCAAATTAAACAGATTTCTGCCATTTCATCTCAGTATAAGAGCATGCTTGCATTATATATTCATTCACAGGAGCAATCTATTTGCTAAGCCTGCAAGCCAGCAGCTCATGAATCTCAGCAAGAGCAACTCATTCCTCCAAAGTACATTTTGGAACTTCAGAGGCAGTAGGCATCTCTAGCTGACACACTGCTTATCCAAGCAGAATTTGCCATGAGTGTAAATCAGCATCGATAGTTATGAATGAATTTCAGGAGAACTGACAGGATGACATCCACAACTTTCAGAAGATTAAAGCTTTTTGTTTACCTAATGCCAATGTACATTATTTGGACGAGTCCTTTTCCCTCTTCTTGGGACATATTACTGCAGAATACCATAAACAACCAAACCCGGAAAGACCCCACAGTTATTTGAATGAAGAACTCCCCTGATTCTGTGAGATACTCAGGCAATTAAAATCATACCTTGATTTCTATCTACATTTTTAATCCCACCCTTCCTCCAAGGAGCTCAGGGCAGCATACATGGTTCTCTCTTCCTCAATCTTATTCTAACCACCCTGTTAGGTAGATTAGACAGAGACTGATCTAAGGTCCCTCAGAGAGGTTCCTCATGGCCTAGTAAGGATTAGAACCGAGCCCCTCCTTCAAGTCCTAGTCTAACACTTCAGCCACTACACCACACAGACTTTTCCAAATGTTCAAGAAGAAGATGACTCACTGTCGTTACAAAGGCAATGTCCATACCTGTTGGGCAGTGTAGCTTCCCTGCATCTCCACTACTGTTGCTGCTGCCAAGACTAGTTGTGCTCTGTGCAAGGTCACTGGTTGCGAGTCCTGCAATGCCTGTTTTTTGTGACTGATTGACACCTAAAATTTGGTCTTCAAAGCCAGCAGGAAAGGTAAAATCCAGCCGACTCCCTTCATCCTTCAAATAAAAAAAGACACAAAATAAGTTTCTCAGTATCTCCTATTTTGTTGACATTTACTTGTAACTACTGAGAAATACATAAGTAGCATGTCTTCTGGCAATGAAGAGGGGAAAAGTGCTTAAAGTATTTCAAGTTTTACCCAATCAAAGACATAGCCCTTGGAATCATCTCCCCTCCCAAATCTCCCTCCATATTTAAAATATCTTACTGGTCTTAGCAACTGCCGCACATTTATGCTAGGTGGACCAAACCCTTTGCCTGCAGCTGAGTCGAAGGGGCATTTTGCTAATACTCCATTCTCTGGCCACCTCTGTTGTTGTGCTTCTGACATGATTGACACTGTTGATCACATTCTGTTATTTTGTGGTCAACTGTCTTCATTGCGACAATTTTGGAATTCCCCCATTTTGAGCAAGTACCAATTTGCTATTGAACCCCAGGTAGTTTCTTTTTTGTTAACTGATGTTAGTCCTGCGGTTACATGTGGCCAAATTATTGTTTATTCTTTGAAACACTCTCCTGCTACATATTAACATGACAATCTCGAGATTTTACTAGTGCCATAATGTTCCTTTATCAAGTATTCTGTAATTGTTATTGATGTCTGAACTGTGATTTTTATTGTATGGCTCAAGACCTTTGGTTGAAAGAGCTTATTGTTAGGAAAGGACAACTGCCACAAGAGTAGAACAAAATTTGAGTCCAATGGCACCTTTAAGACCAATAAAGTTTAATTCAAGGTATCCGAGGAAGTGTGTGTGCACACAAAAGCTCACACCTTGAATAAAACTTTGTTGGTCTTAAAGGTGCCACTGGACTCAAACTTTGTTTTACTGCTTCAGAACAACACAGCTGCCGATCTGGATCTGCCACAAGAGTTGTTCAATTTCAACTGAGAAATATCCATGCAGTGAGCAGTACTGGTATGGGGATCTGCCAACGCTGCAACCCTTCCCCTATGTCACTGTAAAGCATCAACATGAATGCTTTGCAGCAGCACAGAGCAAACTCTGGCTAGCGCCAGTCCACATGAATGAATGGGTGAACATGAACAGCATGCCACACACAGCAATTTTGTAGGAAGGAAACCTCATTCTGATAAAAGTGGTTCTTGCTTTTTTAAGCTGATGCTACACTAAGTTAATCTGAGTGAAAAGAGCTGTGGTGCCTTAAATCGTTGCTTTTCAAGGTTACCATATCGAGAATAGAACAGGGAATGCTCACTGAATTTTCCAGATCCCTTCAGGAGGAAGTCCTTTAGCATTTATGATGAGAGTAGAACTGTTTCCACACAGGTTATGGGTTAATGATGTTAGGAAATATTCCCCCACCCCCCGCTTCCCTCCATTGCTGTGCTTTTCTACACATCTCAGAGTATCCCTGGCTTTTCTCCAATATTCCCCCAAGCCTGCCTTGCTGCTTAGTTTTGGGAAAGATTGCAGTAAAGCCTGGAATAGCTGCTGTGTGGGTGGGAAAGCTCAGATTTGCCTGCTCCCACCCACACGGCAGCCATTTCCTCCTTGTGCTATCAAGGGAGCTTTTTTCTTTTAATCCGCAATTGAATATAACAATCTGTACTTTGGGTTCTCCAGTATCTAGCCCCCCTTTTGTTGCACAGGGGGCAAGGCATATCTCTGCAATTAAAGGAACAGAGACTTAAAAAAAATGAAATGCCAAGAGTGCAGAGAACTGAAACACAGATTGTTATAACAATATTCAATTGTCAATTTAAAAAATCTCGGAAAACCCTGGTGTGCATATAGGGAGGTGGCTGATGCCAGGGGACTGGGGGTAGGGAAAACCGCACATGAAAAACTTGTTGGTGCTGTGTTATATTGGCAGCCAAAGCAGCACAGGCCTGTTCCCCCATGGAAGACACCAAGATAAGTGTCAGAAATAATATAAATTCCAGGAAGTTTGGAAATATGGTGTTCTAGCAAATACACTTTTGTAGAAAACTCAGTTTTGGGAAGGGGCAGGAATTTGGCAGCCTTGTGATGCCACAGAGTCCAACTTCGAAAGCAGCCATTTTCTCTAGGTTATCTGATCTCTAGTCTAGAGATTCGCTGTCGTTCCAAAAGGACTGCAGAACCCACCTGGAGGTTGGCAACCCTATATATAGAAAGGCCATACCTGGCACAGGGAATACTACAGGCAAAGTGTAAAATGTCAGGAGCAGAGAAAAGGAACACAAAGCTGATGGTAATAAAATGCCCTTGCACAGACAGTGGATGACAGCATGAGAAGGCAGATGCGGAAATATGGAAATGTACAAAGCTGGAAATGCAAGGGTAAGAGACTGACGTTGATGCAGAATATAAGCTAGGAACTGAGCAAGCACTTAAATCCTTGTATGGTTATCTGCAGATTACAATTAAGCCACAATCGACGAATGTTTATAGAGTTTGAACTGGTATCAGATCAACAGCAGAAGGAACATATGGCTGAAATACATGCCATCTTGATTGACAGAGTCTGGTTTATGGAGGTAATGGGGGGAGGGGAGGGGCATCAATAGCTATACCAGAAAAAGTCTGTCTTACATTGCACAAGGCATTTTTATCTCTTCTCTGAATGTCAGAATATGAAGGAATGGCTTTAAACTAATGTATTTCATATTGGAGGTGGAAAGTGCCATCAAGTCACAGCTGACTCAAGGCAACCCCCATAAGGGTTTTCAGGGCAGAAGCCATTCAGAGGTAGTTTGCCATTGCCTGCCTCTGCCTAGCAGTCCCGGAATTCCATGTGGTGGTCTCTCTCATCCAAGCATTAATCGGGGCTGACGCTGCTTAGCTGCCAAGATCTGATGAGACTGGACTATCCAGGGCAGGGAGATTCCTGTCAGACTTACTAAAATGGATCACTTTTGATCGAGAGGCCTGTAACAAGTAGGTATCTATACATGGTGGGAGTGCCAGATTACAAAAAGATGCTGGCAACAGACTTAGATGCAACTGAGAAAATTTTGGAGTACCACATGATCCAATGGTGGTTTTAGTAGGCTTAATAGAGATGATATGAAAAAGATGTACAAGTACCTTGCACAAAACTTGACGTCAGCAAGAACACTACTGGCAGAAACTTGGGACCCAGAAAACTCTGCCTACAGCAGATATCTATTTCAGGAAATGCTAGTTTGTTATTCTTATTGATAAACTAGCAACTTCAACATTTATGGAAAAGATTTATTGCAAAATATGTTTACACAAAATTGGCAGCCATTTGTTTTATTCTACAATAAGGTAAAGCCAGATGAATGTTAGACTGGAAGTACTGTCATGTGCTTCATGGCTGTAATTCATGGTTACACTTGTAATTTAACGGTTATCATTTGTATCAGCTATTTTGTTTCAGTGTTGTTGTTGTTTTAATTCTGTACAGGTTTTTTTTAAAAAAGGATACAATCAAACCAATCATGATAGCCCTTCCATATATCTAAACTTGTATACCATTTAAGGTGGCTTCAGCTGCTTTTCCCCCTTAGAGGAATAATCCACTTGTGTCAGCAAGAGCTCACTAACCTCAGCCACAACCAAAATACATCATCATTGCTGATGTTACCACAGCTGGGATCTGCAAGCTCCTGCCAGCCCTGTTGATGGATGGAGATACTGACAACAGAAGAGGAAGTGGTAAGATCCTGTAGCTGGCTAGCAGCTGTTGAAGAACACCTAGCTGAGTTAATTTCTCCTTGGCTACAGGCATGAGCTGAATGGCTCTTGTCTTTTGGCACATAGTATGAGGGCTGTAGCGTGGAGCAGGCAATAGATATGCCAGCAGAAGGAAAGACCTGCTTTGCATTTTGAAGTGATCCCCCTCTTGTTTGTCTGTTTTTCATTATGTTTTTATTGTTGTTGTGGATTTTTTAAAAAAAATTGAACAGTAGTAAGCAGCCAGGCCTAGTTGAGTCATGCAAATCAAGTGGTATCAAATCACTGAGGCTGCACCATGCCTCAGGTTGCCAACCTCCAGGTGGGACCTGGAGATTTGCCAGAACTACAACTGGACAACAGAGATCTGTCCCTCTGGAGAAAACGGCTCATCTGGAGGGTGGACTTGATGGCATTATGTCCGGCTGAGGCCTTTCCGCTCCCCAAACCCTGTCCTCCTCAGACTCCACCCCAAATCTCCAGGAATTTCCCAACCTGGAGATGGCAACCCTAGTCATGCCTGGCCCCAAGGTGCCCTCTTTCAATGGCCAAAATAGGCCTGGAAGGGGCTCTGCCTCCTCCCTCTTGCTTTTACTGGCAGATGCAAGCCTTGGAATGCTATGGTTCCCTAGCAACAGCCACTAAGGGAATTCACTGCTTAAAGCTACAGACACTCCTTTTATAAGTTTCAGATTTTTTAAAGATGCCCAGTGCATTTTTTTTTTAGATGTCACATTTTCCTGCAAAGTTAGAGCCCTTTTCAAGTTTGTAGAAAGATCTGTCTTGCCTGTTCATGCTCTGTCACTGGATTTAAGTATCTAAAGATATCCCGATTTTGCTATTAGAATTTAAGATTAAACCACTTGATGTTAGGAAGCACTTAAAAACATACTTGCCTCATCATCTGAATAGCTATATGCTGATGCTACAGCTCCCCACATTTTGCTGGCGACATTAGCTGCTTGCTTCATGCTAGATTTCAGAACATCTATTTTAGGTCCAGATAAGATGTGATCTAGCTTCAAGCCCGAAAAACTTGTAACTACTGAACCAAATGCAGCCTGTGGTGAAGAACGGCCCAATCCTGTTAAAGACGTGGACCGTTCTTTTTGGGTCCGTGAAAGAGCCAGTTGCTTTGGTCTTCCAGTAAAGGTTTTGGATCGGGAAACAGCTGGACTTTTACGAGTGGCATTCTGAACTTGGGGTGGTGGAGCAGAATCTAAAGGTAGACTCGATCGCCTGTCTAAAGGAGGGCCAAGCGAACTAGGAGAGGCTTCGTCTTGGCTGCTCTCTTTCTCGTGTAGTTCCATGCTGAATGATTTGTTGCCCAAGGGACTTTTCAGGTTCATGTAGCTTTCAATTTCATCAGCCAAATTGCGTGCAGCTACTGGTGACAACATCTTTTCTTCCTGTTCAGGAGATTTTGGCTCTACCGTCTCTGTTGCCAGCAAAGATAAAGGGTCCAGGCCCACCTGAACATCTTCCCTTTCAACAGGCTTGACTACACCATAAAGACTATTTCTTTTGTTCACCGTCTCTTTGAGTTCTGTCTGGCTAGTTCTGGACTGAGAGGCATTAAGGGGTTTGGAGTTAATGTCCTCAGCGTTGGCTGCACTGTTGTCATGCCCATTTTCAAGCTGTTCATGTCCTTCCTCCAGCTTTTCCAGAAAAGGTGATGAACAACCCTCTGTATCCCAAGCATTTTCATTCTCAGAAGTCCTAGAGGCGTCTGAGCCAGAATGTTGCTGGTCACCACTTATGTTGTCAAAACTCTGGGATTTACTTGTATGGGGTGGTGATGGTTTGGCCCCAGACAGAGCCGCTGTGAGGATCTTTGCATCTGCTCCCATCATTATTGCGACTTCACTGGAGTTCAAGTCTAAGCTGCTTTTCTTCAGCAACATGCCTGCTCTGCTTTCAGTGCTAAAACTGCAGCTCCTTTCTGAAAAAAGCTTCTGTCTCTTCTTCCCTTTTTCACCTGTCCTCTTGGGAGAAGTATTGTCATCAAACACAAAATCTTCTATTGGATCCTGAGTTACAAACAATGGGCTGGATGGGGTTCCTTTAACAATAACAAAAAAAAGCTAGTATATCCACAGAAAACCGAAGTAACAAAGCACAGAAGAATAAAATCTTGAGGAAAGTGTAACATAAGTATCTAAAAAGGAAATAATTCAGTAGACTGCAGGAAACCTATAGTATCTTCTGATGGTTCTTTGGAGTCCTCTATCTAGCAGTCTGCATCTCCACAGTACCAACACAGAGCTTTGTTTCTAGCTAGGAGTTTTGTGTTTGTGTTTGTGTGATTCTTCTTGATACCATTTACTCCAAAGAATTATCTCATAAAGAGATGCACAAGTGTGCATTCCCACTGCAATGAATCAGCAGCACTTCAGAAAGCCATATTTATTATTTGCATAGGCAGAAAACACACTACAAAAAATAGATGCATCTCTGCTTACAATCAGCCAGAAAGAATGGATTATGGCTTCCTGACACAGAAGTCTAAGCATGGCAGCTATGAGGGGCTGTGGCTCAGTGACAGAGCATCTGCTTTGTATGCAGAAGGTCCTAGGCTCAATCCCTGGCACCTCCAGTTAAAAGGATCAGGTCTCTGTCTGAATGCCTGAAGACTCGCTGGTCAGCACAAAAAATAATGACTTTGATAGACTCAAGGTCTTACTCAGCATGAGGTAGCTTCCTATGTTTAATGAATTAAATGACCATTTGGAATTGTTTTTTAGCAAGAGCCTCTCCCACTGTTCAATGTGGATCCCAAACATCCCAGAAGTTATTAGTATGGATGTTACAGGTCTGCTGAAGACATAATCAAATTTGATCAAGCAATGACAATAGCAACATGAGTATTATGTATAAGCCTGTTGCCTTTACGTAAAAAGACGGCAGTCATTTGTTTGTGTTACTATGCAAGGACTGATGTCCTGGGAAAATGGTATAGTTATTTATTTGATTTGATTTATAGCCCGCTCTCCCTGAAACCAGCTCAGAGCAGGTGACAACAATTAATAAATATACAATTTAAAACCTTCTAAAATGCAACATACAATTAATTACAGTCAATAAATACAATAAAATCAATAAGACAGCTACCATACACTTTCAGAGGCCATCAAACACATACGGAGGGACAATATACAGACATCTAAAAGAAGGGTGGCTCAAGTGGTTAAGATGCTGAACTGCAGGCTGTGGAAGGTCAGTAGTTCAGCAGTTCGAGACCCAGGGTGCCGCATTACGGAGTGAGCTCCCGTCTCTAGTTCCAGCTCCTGCCAACCTAGCAGTTCGAAAGCAAGAAATTGCAAGTAGATAAATAGGTACTGCTTCGGTGGGAAGGTAACAGCATTCCGTGCGCCTTGGTGTTTAGTCATGCTGGCCACATGACCACGGAAACGTCTTTGGACGTGCCGGGCGAAAGCTAGTACATGCAATGGAGGCTGTGAAGTGGATGCAATGGAGGCCTTCTTCACTACTTTCACTGCCATCTCATCTGGCTTTCGAGCAAGGGATCCCTTACCTTTACCTTAAAAGAAGGGAAGAAAGGGGGAGATACAAGGGGGAGAAAGGAAGGAAGGAGGGGGAGGCCAAAACTAACTGTAGCCTATTGGCTAGAGGCCCAATACTGCCCTCAACCATAGGCCCGCCCGGCATAAGAACTCTGTTTTGCAGAGGCCATGAGGAACTGTACCAAATCCCACAGGGCCCTGATCTCTCCTGGAAGAGTGTTCCACCACAGCCTCCAAACTCCTGTCCAGGAGGAGTTCTGGGGTGGCCTCCAACCGGCCACTTATCAACAGATAGAGCTGGGTGTCATCAGCATACCGGTGACACCCCAGCCCATAATTTTGTGCCAGCTCGGGAAGGGGGTGCATAGTTAAATAGCACTGGGGAGAGGATAGCCCCCCCGGGGGACTCCACATACCAATGGGTATCGTGGTGAAACCCCCTCCCCTAGCGCCACCCTCTGTCCCCAACCTTGAAGAAAGGACACAAGCCACTGTAAAGCTGTCCTCTGGATCCCCATGTTGGCAAGGCAGTGGGTCAGAAGATCGTGGGGTCAACCATATCAGATGCTGCCAACAGGTCAAGCAATATCAGCAGCACTGACCTGCCTCGATCCAGCTTACTGTGGAGGTCATCTATGAGAGCAACCAAAGCCATCTCCATTCCATGGCTAGTGCGGAACCCAGATCGAAAGGGATCCAAAGCTGCGGTTTCAGCCAAGAAAGCTTGGAGCTGCACTGCCACTGCTCTATCAGCTACCTTTCCCAGGAACAGTAAGTTCAATAATGGGTGGTAGTTGGCCAGATCACTAGGATCTAAAGATGGTTTTTTTCAGGAGCGGCCTGACCTTGGCCTCTTTTAAACTCCCCAGGAAGACCCCTGAACTCAGTGACAGGTTTATAATGTCCACCAGGGGAGCCTGCATTCCATCACCGCCAGCTTTAACCAGCCATGATAGAAATGGCCCAAAGAGGCAAGCGGTGGGCTTCACAGCATCCTAGAGAGCAGGCTGAATTGGTCCAACACTGGACCTGCAGACAGCCAAGGGGCCTCCAGTTCACTTACTGTATCAGCATTAGTGGGCAGATCCTAGCAGAACGACAAGACTATCAGCGAAGAAGCTCACAAACGCCTCACAGCTAATGGCCGAATCACTAATATTTTGAGATTGCTCAGTGAGAGATATTAAGGGCCAAACCAATTGTGCTGGGCGAAAGCTAGTGGATGCAATGGAGGCTGTGAAGCAACCCTTCTTCACTACTTTCACTGCCATCTCATAGGCTTTCATAAATGTCCTATAAGATGCTCCTGCAACTTCATCACAACTCCACCACCAAACTTGCTTTAGCTGTCTAAACTCCCGTTTCATCCTCCTTAGCTCAGTATATCAAGGGGCTATTTTGGCACGGGAGCAAAGAGGGCGTGTCTGGGAGTGATTTCATCGATGGCTTCAGAAAGCCAGCTATGCCAGTCTTCTACCAGCTCATCTAAGGAACCACCAGGGGGAGCTGTGTCCTGCAGAGCATTCTGGAACCCTACTGGGTCCATAAATCTCTATGGGCAGGCATAAATCAGCTTGTCGCCTAAACAGGGAGGGCTCAGGATACTCAGACAGGCCTTCAGGGCAAAGTGGTCTGACCAGAACACTTGCTGTTGCACCTTAGATTAAAAAATTTATTAGACTGATAATCCACCCTCCCCAAATAGTAGGCTCAGTCCTGTTGCTCCGCTAGGATCTGCCCACTAATGCTGATATAGTAAGTGAACTGGAGGCTCCTTGGCCGTCTTCAGGTCCAGTGATAGACCAATTGCTAGTGTTTTAGTAATCCATTCTGAAGAAACAATCATTTACTGCCGTCCTACTGGAAGAGACATGCTTTGCCAAAGTTATCTTAGTAACTGCAACACTTAACTTACAAAACGATATCATTTATTTTAAAAATCCACCATGGGAAAGCTGTTGGATCAAAAGTTCATTCCCTTCAAACATCCGGTATGGGCAAAGGAGCCAGTGGGATTATGTAGCGGTGAGAGAAGAGGCATTTTGCATCCTCTCATGTATACTCTTCTTTATTATTTCTTACCCATTTCCCAGGCTGAGCCTGGGCACACTGAAGACATGCGTAATTGGCTGCTGTCTGTTTTCATGACATCTGGCATCTCCAGCCACAGTTTTAGATCTACAAGTTGGATGTAAATGCAAACTCTACACTCCAACACACTTTCTGCATTCAGTAACTCACCACTGCTACTCTTCCTGCCACTACTGCTGAAAATGCCAGAGGCAACCTTTACGATGCTGCTTCCAGACTGTACTGGGACTTCCACTGGGCTGTGGGATTCTGGATTAAGATGTTGTTTTTCAGCAGATTCGCTGGCACTGCCAACTTCTTCAGAAGGAAAAAGATTTTTTTTTGTTAAGTTAACTGATTTACAAATGAAGTGCCTCCAATGTCCTACATTGCCCTCCCCTGACCAAAGAAAAAAATTAAAAGTACAGTCTATTCAAAAATCAGTTTAAATTTTTAAACAAGATGGAGTGCGACATGGTCTCAGCCTATGATTAATCTAGTTAAATCAAATTAAAAGTAATGTATGGCTTGCAGAGGCAAAAACAAACCCAAAAGAGGCATGAGGAATCCCGGGCAGACAAGGTCAAGAGGAACTTCACGTGGGTGACTGATGGACAGTTCAGACTTAGAGCAACAGACTGTGTAGGTTTGCAGCTTTTCCCCTCAGGAAGGCTGTCTAGCTCCCAGAACAAGATGGTCTTCTTGAGAAACAGTTCTCAAACAGGATAACATGAAACAAAGACACGGCCAGTTCCTGCTCCCATCACAGGATGCAGGCAATTTTTAGTCTTGCTGACCTCAAGTTTCGTAAGGCAGCTTGAAAAAGTCTGAGGTCATATGAAGATGAGTAGACCAACAGTCATCTACTAGAAAGGAAAGGGGAGGGGGAGGACTGTTTACCCACCCCCCAGTGACCATTAAGGAGGGTGTAATGCTGTGGTGGCTCAAGTGGTTAAGACACTGAACTGCAGACTGGAAGGTCAGTAGTTCAGCAGTTCAAGACCCAAGTGCCGCATGATGGAGTGAGGTCCCATCTCTGGTCCCAGCTCCTGCCAACCTAGCAGTTCGAAAGCAAGAAACTGCAAGTAGATAAATAGGTACCACTTCGGTGGGAAGGTAACAGTGTTCCATGTGCCTCGGAGTGTAGTTATGCCAGCCACGTGACCACAGAAACGTCTTTGGACAGTGCTGGCTCTTCGGCTTGGAAACGGAGATGAACACCGCATCCCTAGAGTCGGATTCAACTGGCTTTCGAGCAAGGGAACCTTTACCTTTACTAATAATCTCAAAGTGAACTACATAATTGTGAAAATTTTCCAGCTTGACAGAGGAGACCAACAGCCAATAGTCAGAGGAGACCAATAGAGGAGACCAACAACCAATAGTCAGAGGAGACCAATAGAGGAGACCAACAGCCAATAGTCAGGACCCCTGCCTCTTAACAAATAGCTACTGGTCAGATTTGGCCAGCTGACCAAGTGAACGTGCATGGAATTTTGCATCCTCTCATGTATATAGAATGGGAACTTAGTAAGAGGATGCTTAAGATGTAACATCATCCTATTGACTTAAAATATTTTTTCTTTAATTAATGACATGGTCTGTGGGTTCTTTCTTCAATTATCTGCTCCCTTCAAGGCAGTAGTCTGGTCACCCACTGGCCTTAGAACATGATTAATAATTAACTTGCAAGAATTGATTAGCATTTTTTATTTCCCTTACAAGTGCTTCCCCCCCCTGGAATAATCCTCTAGAAATAACTGTACAGTAAAAGGAAGCACCACATTCCAAGTTTAGGCAGCTCATTAAAGGAAGACTTATTGGTATCAGATAACCACCAAGGATTATCCTGTGCCTTCAAATCATCTTTTGCAGACTGGTTCAGCATATTACAGAGAGAGAAAGTGATCACAATGACTAAGTTTCACCTTGCTGTGCTACTACTGAATCCACAGCCTCTATTTACCGGTCTCACATTGTATCCTGCCTTTCAACCAAGGAGTACAGAAATATATGATTCTCCCTTCCACCACTGTTATCTTCACAACTATCTCATGAGATCAGTTAGACTAGTCAGGGTCTCAAAGCCTCAGGTCTCCCAGTGAGACTCCTGTGCAAGTATATTGTATATGTATTTAATTTACTTTGAATTATAACAGAAACCACCACAGAGTCAGAGCCCACCATTATTAGGTCTTGGATCTACCAAAGGATTTCCATGGACATAAGGAGGATTTTTGCTGATTTACCCATTATGCTGGTCTTGGGGGGGGGGTGTCCCCTGTACCCCAGGAGCAGCATTTCAGGAGTCATTTGGGGCTGCAGTAGGGGAGGGGACAAGAAAGTTGTGCTCCACTGATTAACATTCCTTTAGTCATGGAGATTTCCGGTGGATCCAACCCCAGAACTGCATTTGAGTATTTTTTAAAAAGTATAAGTTAATCGATATAATATACCTCCGATTAGATCGTCCTCTTTAGCAACAAACTCTTTTTCTACAAGCATATCTGATGTATGAACACTATCTCCATCATCCTTTATAAGTTCATCTTTAGAGCCATATCCTTGATCAGACTGACCACCTGTTGAAAATAATGAAACACATTCTAGCAACTTTTTCTAATTACAAATTAATACAAAACAAACTCATTTACAGATTTTAATTGAGAAAGAAAAAACTGCAAGAACCAAAGCTGGAAATGCCAGTACAGAAAAATATACACATACAGAGTATCTGTAGTCTGTTGGAAGAAAAGAACAGCAGCTGAGATTCAAAAGGCTTATTAGAGATCTGATATGTAAAAAAATTTAGCCGGACATTACGGTAAGTTCCAACACAGGTAAGTTCTCTACAGAGGAATAAAGATCATTCCCATTTTACATACCACGACAACATGCATCTTCCTATTTCTTTCATATCTTAGATACAAGTTAGTTGTTACCCCACTTGTACCGATTTCCCCCCCTATGCACATGCTCATACACTGCGGAATTAATTTGTTAGATGCATCTCTGCTGCCTTGTCCCTAGGCCCCTCTTGGCTGCTGGTTCCTGTTACCTCAAGTTCTCATTAGTGCTGCCCTCCATTGGAGTAAGCAGAAACCAAGGCTTCAGTGGCTGCCAATTGTGGCAGCTCCACCTAATCACAAAACCCAAGAAAGCTCAGGAGATTTTCATTGGGAGTCCCTTCATTAAATCCATTTGGTACAGGAGGAGGAGATTGGATCTATACCCCACCCTTCACTACCCAAAGGTGTCTCAGAGCGGCTTACAATCGCCTTTCCCTTCCCCTCCCCACAACAGACACCCTGTGAGGTAGGTGGGGCTGAGAGAGAGCTCTTGACAGAAACGGCTCTTTTTTCAATAACAGCTCTTATCAAAGCTACGGCTTGCCCAAGGCCATCCAGCCAGGTGCAAGTGGAGGAGTGGGGAATCAAACCCGGTTCTCCCAGATTAGAGTCCGCGCACTTAACCACTACACCAAACTGTAAAGTAAAAAACAAACAAACCATACAGGCCGAATGATAGTCAAGTATTTAAATGAAATAGTAAAATGCTTATTGCCAATCCTGACCCACATTTTTTTTTGTTTTCCTGCCATTCAAGAGATAATATGCAACACTGAATGATCAACAATTACATAAGGTCAAAATGGGCCATCAGCTTTTTTACAGCATCAAGAGAAACCACCTTTCCCTCTCCTGGCTCATCAAGTGACATAAAAACTATAAATGGGAAAATTACCTGGAGTGGTTAGCATTCAAGAGCAGAAATAACGCCTATGTGCCTCCAAGGCTTCACGACACACAAGTCTGCACCCCACACCATGACAGCACCAAGAGACAGCACAGAGCAAGAAGCAGAGGGGACAGAGATCAAAGAGAAGGAATCTTTAGTCATCTACTAGACAACAGGCCATCTACACATCAAGAGACACACAAACTCTTTAAAAGGAAAGATATCAGAAAGTTTAGTAGCAGAGGGGAGAGAAGAGGGAAAACATTTAGATCTATAAGCTACAAAAGCAGGGTGTTTGGTGTGGCAGCCATTCTTCAGTACGTTTTAATAAAGTATTTTATGTGTGTAATGAACATCTTTAGAAGGCCAATAGAGCATTTTCTTTTAAAGTTAATATAGGAAAAAAATATATGAAGTATGCTAAAATCTCACTCCACGCCCCTGCAGATATATGTCATACAACATCAACTTCATGCAAGTTCCCACTGGTTTGTCTGACCAGGTTTATCTAGCTTCTTGGTCATCTCACCCTTTCCCAGTTTCGTTATCATTCCATTATGCAAATTCAAATAAGCATAAGCATTTAGCCTAAAGGATTATGGCACGATGCATTCCTTGCCAACTTGCAATTCGAACAGCCCGCAGGACTATTAACAGACCATGCATCTGTTCAAGAATGTGCATCATGTCTGCCTGCTGGCAATACAAGACCATGTTACAGAATTGTGGAATGAGTGAAAACTGACCTGAAGCCGCACAGCTGACTTTATTATCAGTAATTCCAGTTTGCAATCCCCCTGGCCCCTTTACAAAACACTTCATCCAAGAAACACAGTGCCGCTAAGCAGAGTTACTCCCCTTTTAAGACCACAGAACCAGTGATTAACTCTGTTGGTCCTCTTTCAGGGGCCACAATGTGATTTCCAGACATATGACTGAAAACATGAATCCAGCAGTGATTTGCCCATGGAATTTGCCTCCCAGTGATCCTGTGAACTGTATCCTTGATTCTGCTGTTCGTGGGATTGCCACAGAGCAAGCTGCATATATAAGCCATTTCTCCACCTCACCATTTTCATAGGAAGAACAGATTTCAGGGAAAATCAAGTCAGCAACATATTAGAAAGAGGATGTGCAGTTAGTGAAACCCAGCAGATCTAGTACCTGTGCTAGAGTGATTACCAATGGAATCAAGCCTGACTAAGTCTCTGACGAAGAGTGTGTGCTCCCCACTGTTAGCATCATTAGAACTATCCACACTACCATGGCTCACCGTGTCCCCTTCACTTCCACCTGTGGTCATCCGAGGAGCTGAAGATAACGAACAACAATGCATTAGTTTTTAAAAGTAGTTCTTAGAAGCTTACAAGATCACCACATTTAAAGCGACACATAACTCTCTTCACAGGATATACGATACTTCTATGATTACATTTTCAAATTCATTTAAGAAATATTTAAGAATTCTCCCTGGCCACCCCCCAAAGCCATCTTAATACAATTATGCATTTTCCTGCCACAATAAGGCAGCTTTCAAACCTTAGCTCTTTAGAAGCTGGGCCCATAGAAGTTAGTGACTCAAAGTTACCTGGTACTGAAGGGGCCTGTAAATTGCGTGCAGACTTTCTGAGGCATTGTCTGAATTGTGCCATGCCATGCACCACATTCCGCACTTTTGTCCACAGAAAAATGCCACTGCGATTACTGCTAGGCCATGGGCTCTCCAAAGCTGCCTAGAAAAGTGAAATTGCTTATTTCCAGAAACCCAAAATGCTCTTTTTCCAGGCAGCACCCCCCCCCCAACCTATTCCATATAGTCTCAGTCAAGCTACAGTACCAAATTATTTTTGTGCTATGAGTTCACACTTTGAAATTCACATTCTTACAAGTGAAGATATGTACTTTTCCTGGACAGAACGAGAAATAGATACCCTAGAACTTGGTCAATATGTTCAGCTGCAGAGAACTTTACTGATTACCAGTGTTCCTCATGCATGAAACAGCTTGGATAGACAGGATCTAGCCTTTCTCTTGTATGGTTCTGATGGCCAACTGAGTTGAACGGGGGAAAGGCAGTCCAAGAACCTACTCTGCTCCTCTTGGGGCCACCGTGACATTTGGATTCTGACACTGCCCAGAGAGAAAGGAAATTTTAAAACACCTAGTGAGGCACTTTCCATTTAGCTGGAAAGTTCCCTCTATATGGGATAGACTCTGAGACCTCTGGGAACGGAGTGGTGGCAAACCACTCTGAAGAACTGGAGAGTATGGGGAGGGGGGACAGGTAGTCAGAAAGCCAACTGGCTACAAACATTACCCAAGATAGTATCTAACACAGCCTCACAGCCAGAAATTTTTGGCTGGTCCAGGAGTGAAACTGACCAGAAGCAGCAGGGCAGCTTCCCTTTCCGTCCCCATCCTCCTCACCACTGCAGGGGGCTGGGGAAGGAAAGGGAAGCCACCCTGCTGCTTCTGGTCAGTTTCACTCCTGGACCAACAGCTTGTCCATAGTGGGGGCTCTGCCCCAAATGCTCCACTGTGGCTAGGGGCCTGATCTAACATGGGTCAATCTGGACTCAATATACAAAGCAATGCAAGATCAGATGGCTGTTCTTGGCCAGCCACAGAGAGATCAAGGCAGGGAGGCCTTTGAATAGAGGTGGGCAGCCAATCCCCACCCCCAACCTTTCCAAAACAGTAGCCGAGGAAGACAGACCAGGCAATCCTATGGCTAGCGTAATCTGGGCACTATTTCAAGATCATCCCAAACGAAAGCAATGGGCACAATGCTAAATATGCTTAGGTAAAGGTAAAGGTTCCCTTGCTCGAAAGCCAGTCGAGTCCGACTCTAGGGTTGCGGTGCTCATCTCCATTTCAAAGCCGAAGAGCCAGCGCTGTCCGAAGACGTTTCCGTGGTCATGTGGCCGGCATGACTAAACCCCAAGGCGCACGGAACGCTGTTACCTTCCCACTGAAGTGGTCCCTATTTATCTACTTGCAATTTCTTGCTTTCGAACTGCTAGGCTGGCAGAAGCTGGAACTAGAGACGGGAGCTCACTCCGTCATGCGGCAACTCGGGTCTTGAACTACTGAACTACCGACCTTCCACAGCCTGCAATTCAGCGTCTTAACCACTTGAGCCACCGCAGCTCCTTAGGTATGCTTACTTGACTTTTTTTTGCAGGTCTCGCTTACCTTGTTGTAGTAACCATAGGTGATTGCGTTTGGCTGTATGCCAGCATTTTTCATTTCAAAAAGGACTCTCACAGCCAGAACAGGATGGCCCCAAAGTCCACAGAGCTGCATTACAACTCTGTAGCAAACCTGATAAAGATTGAAAAGTTTGTGCCATCAGTTTTGACAGGCACTCCGTAGCAGTTCACACTGTGTAAAATAATGGATGTGAAAGGTCATAAAAGATGGAACTACTCTATACGTTTGACTCGGTAACCAGTAGAGGGAGCACACGTTAAATCAGCAAAACACACAAGAATAAAGCAAAAAACCCTGCAAGAGATTTCAGCATTTGTTGAGCAATCCAGTTGAGGAGTTACTATATTTGTCCAAACCTGAACAAATTTTGTTTACAAAAATACACGATAAGAGATTCTTAGTCTAGTTCTATAAACTGCTATACTGAAATTAAATGTTTAGGATTAGAAGTAGATGTTTAGTAACTGCTGTGCCATTCACTTTACCTCTGGCAGTGCACTATCAAATAATGTGTCTTACTACCTAAAATTAGCAAAAGCTTAAACATCCTCTAAGTAGATCAAGACAAAAGATTCTGGAGTACAGGTTCAAAGGTTCCCATCCTGTGTCTGGTAAGTGTGTTCTCACCAATTCCAATTCAGTTACGGTGCTATATCAACTATGGGAGAAGGATTTGCATGAAGTCTATGAACTATGAGAAAAGGCTTTGCATGAAGCCATTTTGCATAGGGCAAAAATAGCAGCAAGTTTTTACTGTTACCAACCTGAAGTCTATTTGAAAGGGAGTACAAAAGATAAGAAAAACCAAGCTCTTCAGACTTGTTACTATGAACACGTGATGTCTGGAAACTCAGCCCCGGCCTGGTGGAACATGCTCCCATCTGAGTTCTGGCCTGAGTTCCATCAGGTCTTTGGCTGAGGTGGGGGGAATCCAATAAAATCTTGCTTCCCCCTGCTGAAGTTTACCATCTCTACATGACCCAGATTAAGAAGAAGAAAATGGCACCAACTTGAACTCCATGCACATGAATAGTGAGACCTGTTTTAATCCATGCTATTTTAAACTGTTTAATTTGTAAATTATATTTGATACGTATTGGAATTTTTATGATTTCCTAGATTTTGCTCTGTGATCCACCCTGAACCCACAAGCGGGGAGGGCAGAATATAAACTGAAATAAATAAATAAAATATTCATATGTGAATAGTGAAAATCCCAAAGATATATTGACAACATTCAAGAGCTTCAAGATACATCAGTGAATCATGACAGCCCAAAAAAGTTGTCTGTGACTGCCAACATGTGAACACTGGCATTCACAGTAGTGTATCTATAAGGTTTACTGGGAAAATTACAGTAGACAAAAAACAGTATCCCTCCCAAACCTAACCATGTGTTACAGTGAAAAAAATAAATTCCACATTCAGTATTAGCACATGAAGTATTAATCTCAACCAGACAAAACTATGTATAAACTATTTGCTAACATATTTAACCATCACTACTGTTTTCTCTCAAAACAGTTACTGTAGGACAGAATATATACAAGTATACTTGACAGCTCCCCTGCTACAGCAGAAGACTTCCTGACAGCAACTCCTGATGCCTGCCATTGCTCTGTCAGCTGGTGAAAGAAAAGTAAATTAAGTAATTGCCATTACGTCACTTCCAGAGAACACTCAGAAGTGATGTACCATAGAAACTCTATCATAGAGCTTTTGGTGATTCCTAGAGTGGAGTGATATCATTTCTGCATATTCCCTGGAAGTGACTTAACATGGCCACACTGACAGCATACCCTCATGTCCCTGATCCCCTCCCCCACAACAGAAACATCTCCATTTACAAATGTTCTCAAATAACTGTTCCAAGTGCTAGTTTCAAAAGCATACTCTAGCTAATAGGATTTGCACGGCCTCATTTCAGGTTTGGGCAGATTACTTTGGTAAAACCAATGCAACAGCAGTATTACTTAATTACTTCCCAACTTGTCTAACTTGACTCCCTGAATCACACCCAGATCTATGTGAAATAACTTAGTGTCTGCATTTTCCTCTATTTTTGCTATTTAAAATAGGTTGAGGCAAGATTTAAATGGGAAAAGAAACTCTCAGCACGAAAGGATGTTAGTCCAACAGTATACTGCAGCTAAACCTATTAAATTCACCATGACTGCCCAAGTAGAAGAGGAGTTTCCAAAAAAAAAAAAAAAGCTTTTTAAAAGTTTACAGACTGTTTAAGTTGGTTTTCCTGAAATGGCTTTCCTTCTCTGTATCAAAGATACAACATTTATTTAATAATAGAGGTGCTAATCAAAATCCCAAGGATCTGCACCCCCCCCTTTCTATCCCACTTTTTTGGGGAGAAAATTAAAAAAATTCCAAGGATCTTCTAGGTAGAACCAAGATATATTCTTGGATAGGGGGCCAACAGCAGAATTAGTCAGGACAACTAGCACTGGCTTGAACTTCACTGAATTTGTGACTGTGACTAGGGAACATAGTTCCCTACTTCAAAATCACACTCAGAAACCCCAGTACTGAATGAGAGCTATTAAGGTCAAGAGCATGATAATGAAATCTAAAATAATGTGATCAATATTTCTGAAAACTGGTAGAATCCAACATAGTTCGGATGCCTGAACCACATAATCTGCCTTCAGTCTCAGTGAGAAAGGCAAATCAAACAAAGGAAATAAATAAATACAAAGTGCTGATGAAGAAGTGGCAGAATGAGACAGCAAAGTATTGGCTATCCAATTTAACTGCAGCTAAATAAAAATGTGCACAAACTAGCCACTGCACTAGGCTCATGCACAAGTTTGGCTTTTACTTCCCTCCCTTCTTGCACAGACAACAATGAAGGAAAAATCAGCAAAGATTTAAGTCTGGTTATCAGTGGCATATGAAAAAAGGCAGAGTTAGCAAGAGTTAGTCCCCATCCACCTCCAGCAGCAATCTTAATCAACAATTAATCAAGATATAGAATCCCAGTTTTTTGAGGAAGGGCTAACTCCAGTTAAACCATGACTTTGCTCTTCACAGATAACCACAATTATTTATTTATTTATTTATTTATTACATTTATAAATCGCCTAATCCTCACAAATGTGGTGCTCTAAGCAATGGACAAACTTAAAATAATTAAAACCATAAAACCATCTCAAATATATTATACACAGTTAAAACATTAATTAATCATTAGCCCTCGTTTCATCACCATACTGCCCATGAGAAGTGGGTGGGGACCCTGGGACAGGGCAAATTGCACACATTTTTATGTAGCTCTGCTGTTTGAATGCAGTCTTCAAATTAAAAAAATAATAATTTCTGGATAGCTTACTTAAGTAGCCGATTTATTCTGAGGGGAGAAAAGAACCCTTTTAAAAGTATTCCAAAGCAGAGGAACTTTAACTGATAATGAAATTAATAAGCAGTAAGCTTCTTCTCCCAAGTAATAATTAACATGTGGAATTCACTGCCGCAAGAAGTGGTGGTGGCTACAAGCATAGACAATTTCAAGACAAAGAGTGAGACAAAGAGTGTTGTGGACTGGCTGGGCCATTGGCCTGGACCAAAATGGCTTCTCTTATGTCCTTCTGATGCTACAAAAATCTACAGATTACTATGTGTTTCCATCATTTCTTGCAGCTCAGCAGCTCTCTGGACTTACCTCATCCAATGGTTCCACATCCGTTTTCCTCATTTTGATAAGAACATCATATGCTCGCTGCAGAGCTTTGACTTTGGGATGGGAAACTCTAACGTAAGCTGGCAGACAAATGAACCATAAGCTGTAGCAGTGACTGAAGAGGCACTTGGCCCATTGTGGAGGGCTTGTGTAGTATCTCTTGGCTAACTTATGGGCTGCTTTTATCTCCTGAAAGGTAAGAAGGTAACAAAAATTAACAGCAATAATCATCTGGCATAGAACATACCCCGTTTTCCTTCAGCGATGCAGAATGCTGTTTTGCATGACGCTGTTTTCAGGCTTTTGCCCTTTTAATATTCACCAGCTGTCAGATGCCAATGCTTTCTCTAGCTTGTTGATCATGGTCCTGTACATCACATAGTCGCATAACATTTAAAAACACAACATAACACAAAACTGACCTGCTTCGTCCTCTTTGCCATGAGTGCTGGACTGTTTGAAATAGTACCTCCAGCTGGGTGCCTGTTGACTGACAGCTTGAGCTCCTGTGGCCTGTCGAAGAACTTAAAATCTAGTCTAGGGAAGTTTTTATAGCTGGAAAAGGAAGAGTGACGTGTTTCATTATAGCATGGCATACAAAGCGCAAGCTACTCCATTTATAAACAAATGACAGTTGTGTTAGCACTATTTCTAAGAGGAAAGAATGCAACTGTGCTAAATAAAATCCAGCCTCCAGAAAGAAAAATGTTATTAGACTTGTCAAAAGCTTGAATACGCCCAGTGAAATTTCTGACTGTTCCCTTCAAGTAGCAGATCTTTGAGGACATATCACAAAATGAAACTTTCCTCAGCTTTAAACTTGCTTTGCTATGTGGCATGGGAGGGGGGGAGCTTCTTTGGGCATGCAGAGTTTTTATAGCACAGTTCTCAAGAGCAAGACCATAATATTTTGCACAATTAGTTATATCTGGAATACTGAGTTAGCTCAATATTACCATATGGCATATCTTCCTTCCACATTAAAAACAAAGTCCTAGTCACTTCTTTTCAAGAGTTCAAAGTAAGCTTTAAAAAATAATGTGGAATGCACAACATGCCATCATAACTTAGTCCCACCCATCAGTAGATCCCCCCCCCTTCGTTATTTAGCAAAATACCTGTACTTAGGTGTCCTCTCCTGCCCATCGTCAGGGGGAGGCTCTGGGGGCATTATAAACACCGTGTGTTCACTCTTTTGAGACTCATCCAGCTCAATTAACCGAATATCCTCTGTGGAATCTACATCAACCTGCAAACACATCATAATCCAATTTTAAATCAAGATGCATACAACTTTTAAATCAAGATAACTACATGGGAAGTTCCTGTGCTGTAAAGCTCTGTGCCTCCAGACCACAACTGAAAAAAGGTTCTGAAAGCAACAGCATGCAAAAACATCAGATCACAGCTTTAAGACATATCATTCAGTTACATTGCCTCCATTACCTGTGATGACTCTGCCAAGAAAATGACTGGAAGATCAGCACAGTGTCATCTTGCAAGGATCTGATGTACTGAGTCAGCATGTCAAAGATCCCAAGACATTTTCTTGAACAAACATGATTTGTAGTCCCATACTATCAACTATGCATGCTTAATTAGCAGAAAAGTCATAAAATACTCCCATAACATGCAACTTAAGTACCTTATCTCCTTTTTCTGATCCTTTTTCAGGAAAAAGCTAGGGAAAGGAGTTAAAAACAGAATTAGAATTAGAATTAGAATAAATAAATGACTGGCCACAATGTACTTTTCATTACATCGTTCAAACATCCCCTCCTCCTCCTTGCCTAACAACCAGACTGTTTGGAGCTCTCTCCTTCACACACATGCTGCAAGATGCACAACTAGTGGCTATAAATCCAGGATAAGCCAGAAGAGCCAGTTTGGTGCAGTGGTTAGTGCACCACACTTGAACCTGGGTACCTTACTTTCTAATCTTATGATCTATGAGGCTCACAGGATGACCTTGGCCAGTCAAAATCTCTCAGCCTGACCTATCTCACAGGTTTGTTGTTGGGATAAAGTGGAGGAGAGATTCATCTCAGCCACCCTGGGCTTCTTGGAGGAAGAGGAGGATAAAAAAATGTACTAGACTGGATAAGGGATAACCATGGAATCTCTGAGTTCAGACATTATAGCTCCTAGGCACAGTAGGAGAGGATACAATGGTGGGGGGGTGGGGGAGGAATACACTGTCCAAGCAATGCTAAGGTATCCCAAAACCTCTGCATGAGATTCACAGCACCACTTGCCTACTCCATTCTAACATGTGGCCTTCTCTATTAGCAAAGTGGAAACGTCCAGTTTGAGAAATCCTTCTATAAAGTTACCAATTTGCCCTAAGTAGTAACAGTCATCATCTCACAACATCAAAATAAAGACAAATTCAGGAAAACATCTAACAAGAACAAGAAAGCCACAGATCCACAAGAGGCAGAGTCTAACACCAACTCATTTGTTGAAACAATTTTTTTTTTTTACCTTTTCCACACAGTCATCAAAAAAAGCCAAGCCGGTATCTTTGTCACTCACAAAACTGCATTCTTCAATGAAGCGGCTAAATATCTGTGTTTTAGTTAAAGCTGTGTAAAATTTTGTGTAGGCGCGATCTCTACTCTTTAAAAATCCTAGTTAAAAAGAACACATTATAATTGCTAAAAAGTACTGGCATACGATTCACAATTATTTCATTTGTCTATTTAACATTTTAGTATAACCCTTGGCATTGCTCTGAGAGCTTAGGAAAACAAGTTCTCTTGTCTGTAAGTGTGTTTATACTGAAAAACAGATGGGCTCCACACCATTTCTTCTGCTGAAAATATCCCATCCATAGGCTCTTTCAACATCATAGTAGAAGAATGAAACTGAAAAATGTTATCACAACATTTTGCCTGGATAAACTCTGATGATAAAAGGACTCCCCAAAGCATTCTAGAAAACCTTTGCTTTAACCTTTCAACTCCAACTGTTTTAGCAGACTGTGCAACACAACCAGAGGATATGTATGTTTTTGAATGGGAGTAGCACAAATCTTATTCCTTGCAAAAGGAGCTTGTGCAGGAGAAATTCTACCTTTTGCTTTCTCCCTTTCCCCCCCTGGACTTCTAATTTTTATTACCAGCTGATAAGGCCTGGCACCACAGTGCACCCTTCTCCAAATGCAGAGCGTAGGTTTCTTCTGGGACTCTGTAATTTCTATGACACCAACAGAATGCCCACATTATGTACAATATTAAATGTTTGTGAATAGGATGGCTTGCTTAGTGTGTTAAGCTTTGATAATGCAACAGCAATATAATCTCTTACTTTAATGGCGTATCGCCACAGCATTTTTAGGCAAGCAAGGAACCAGAAACAGAATTCTGAATTCAGCCATCACTCTGCCCTGCTTCGTCTCTATTTGCATTACATACTAGAACACCATGTCTCTCTTCCCTTCCCAAACACCTCTGGCTGTACCCAATGACTAATGTCTCAGCTGTCATATTACACTCTGTACCAGTCCCTGTGAATAACACCTGACCACACACCATGCCCAGCAAATAAACTAGTATATGAAGTGTTGCTTGTTTCAGGCCTAATCTCACGGGAGTCCTTCTCGGAACAGAAACAGGAACCTGCAGTAGGGTATCTACTACTTGCATTGCTTTTCTTTCCTGCAACCCTCCCCGGCAGAAGCTTAAAGCTACTGACTGGATACATTTTGTCGCCTGACCTGTAAGTCACAGACTGGGATCGTTCTTAACAAATAATATCAGAGTTTCAATACAACCAGAATCTCTCTTCAAGACTCACCTTGAAGATCAAACAGGGAATCTGCAGCAGTAGCTTTATTCGAAGGTGCCTGTGTGATTGGTTTAAGGAACGTTCTGTACCCTTTTAAAACAGATGCCATGAAACGCAGAAAAGCTTCCTGAATCTCCATTTCAAATTGGGTCATTTTCGTCTGCCAGGAGAAATCTGCCTCTATAGGCGTCATCTCAACTGCTGAGCCTTCTTGTGTCTTTCTGTGAACTGCGGTACATAGAGGTAGGAGGAAATAAACTGAATTAAGGAACTTTTTTTAAAGTATAGCTATTTGAAGAGATCTACAGGAGAGGTTTTCAGATGTGCTCAACTTTCACAGAATGCTCAAGCACATAAGTGTTCAATACAAGTAGAAAACTGTTATTTCCACAGTTATACACTCAGACAGGCATTTGGGTCTCATAACCTACCCTCTTAATGAATTTCAATTTTACTAATAGCCTCATCCTTGACATCTAGCTACTGTCTCATACTCATTACAAACAGAAATATTCTGCTTGCTCGAGCAATGTGGTTATCAGCTTTGCAAACCGGCATTACCGTACCCCTCTCAATCACACAGCAAAAGAAAATCTGTTTTTAAAACACCATCTTGATGCTGATGACCATGGAACAGAGCTTGACTACCAGCAGTCTTACATTCCAAAGAAACTTCCTGTAAGTAAGATGCAGCTAGGGATGCCAGCCTCCAGGTGGGACCTGGAGAATCCCCTGGAATTACAGCTCATCTCCAAACTAAAGAGATCAATTCCCCTGGAGAAAATGGATGCTTTGGAAGGTGGACTCTATAGCATTGTACCCTACTGAGGGTATGAAGGGGAAAAAACAAACTTCAAACGTTTCCCCATATTAATTTTCGTCTTTTGCAAAGATCAGTTTCTCCTCTCCTGTATTTTACCTAATGCCAGCTGTGGATGCAATTTCTTTAAGGTGCTGAGTAGACTTTTGCATGGCTTCTTAGGAAGCTGTTTCCAGTTCATGCTCTTCTTATCATCTGATCTAAATAATTAAGTGAAGCATACACAACAATCAAAAGGGAGCCAACATTCAATGCTAGAAAATGTATCATTCCAATAAAGGGTGTAATGCTTACAGTAAAATTAAAAGCTTTTTTCTTTCCCTCCTTCCACCCCCCTCCAATACATGTGTGTGTGTGGGGGGGAACCCAAAATGAAACATTAAGCAAAATGATCTTAATTGAACTGGGATCCAGTCCCACAACAACTTACAACAGCTTTGCTTAGGTTCGATCTAGACATTATTCCAGCAGCAAGTAACTTCACTCATATTTCACTACACCCAGTTCTACAATTTAGTTTTGTTTACTTCGGTGAAAAGCAGTTTAGTTAGACAGTTACACATGGTAAGACATACCACTTCCTAGCTTTACTGAAATTCAAGATCCAATAAAATAAAATTCAAAGCCGTGTGTATATAGATGCATATGTGGGTACAAAAAGTAAAATATTGAGATTTTCTATATATTTTTTCAGGTATGAAGCCACTCCCATGCCTTCAAAAATACTGGCAAATATACTGCAATACATCTAAAGGTCCAACACAGTGCTGGGCATACTTGGTACGATGCCTATTTGCATACTGTTCCTTACAGAGTTATTCCACGTACTCTGTCAAAGTGATGTATTCTTCACAATACAATGCTGCCCAAACATGACAATACAAAGCTTTAATCACCACTTTTTGGAAAGTCGTGCAAAACAAACCCAGTTTGCTTCAAAATACTAACGTAAGCCACACAAAGCTTGTGCTTCTGTATGAAAATATAGGAACAGCTCCTCTCTCTGCAAGACTGAAACTGGGATTGAAAGATGGGATGTGTGTCTAGAAGGACAGAACCACCACACAACTGCAATGTTACTTTTTTGGGAGAACAACTAAATTACTGCTTGTTTCACAAGAAAAAACAAGGTCTACCTTGAGGCAAGGTAGAATCCTGATAGCTGGGATCCCTTCTCCCCCCACCCTTTGTAATGGAAGTAGGGGGTGAGATCCCATTATTCCCTGGCACTCAGGAGAGCCCTTGGGAAGCAGAAGGGCATCTTTGGACCCAATCTAAAAATTACAGCAGTGAACGTAACATATGTCTCTGCCACAGCACTGAAGGTGTTTAAAAACTACCCATTTGTTTTGTTTCAAAAACTACCCATTTGTTTTGTTTCATAACGTTAATATGGCCGTTTTCCTACTGTTAAAAGGAGATACTGGCATGCTTCCAAAAACGTAACGCAAAACAAAGCAGATGGACAACATTATATGGTATTCAATAACTGTTCCGACTTGACTGCACCTACTAGTGTTTGTAGGCTGTATGACTATCATAAATCTTCCAAAGCACCATCTTAAAATAATGCAGATAATGCAACACTTCCAAATGGTAGGGTATGCAATGTTTTTATATTGTAAGTACAGAAACAGGGGCTGTAGTCCAATGTAAAAATAAGCTTTAACAACCTTGGCCTCCATTCTCTGAAAGGGTTTGGCACTTACAACTTGTGATGAACCTGCATTCAAAGCTCCAAAATAAACAGTATCTGGTGAAAAAAAACACACGCCCTGTAATGCAATTAATCTCTGATTGGCACAACAGTTTGTGGACCTGCATGTGCCTCTTACTGCTCTCCCCTCCCTTTGTAGCTGGTACAAAACCTGGGTTTGGTCAAACTCCCATTCACCATGATGTCCAAATGTAATCACCTGAACTGGGATCAAACCAAAATTCAAAATCTGAGATGACATGGAATAATCCAGTTCCCTAAGAGACAGATGCATCTCAACATCCTTGTGAACTGGAGCTTGATCAGCCCAGGAAGGAATGACACACACACACACACCCCAACACAGCAACAAGCTGTGTCTGTGCCTGACAGAAGTTTAATTGCAGTTTGTTGTGACATCTGAATGCATCCCAATTAGTCCAGTAAAATCTGGGGGGAGGAGAGAAAAATGTATCAAGGCCAATACAAGAATAGCATCTCTCTAAACCAGAGATTTTTTTCATAGAACTGTAGTACTAACTTGAAAGCAACATTAATGATAAAGATTGGCCTGTCATCCCAATCAGATTTCCATACCAACAGTTTCTCATTGTTGCTTCTCCTAATTGACTCTGAAGACAGATAATGAAGAGAAAATCTAGTGAATGGAAGCTATTCAGTGTTACTCTGGCAGTCAGTAATGATTCTATCACTACACTATAATATCGCTGCTAGCAACACACACAGAAAGCCCTCTTATCTGTGACAAGTACTGTGCCTGTGACAGTGCTTTGTTCTTCCGAGAACGCTATCCTCCCCCCTGCCTCAGGAAAAGGTCTTCTTTGCGATCATTTCTTTATACACAATGGATATCCAAAACCAATGAGCTTACATTAATGTAGAGTCCATGTACTGAGATGCTTTGGCACATCTATACCATTCTGCTAAACGTAGCAAAATATACACCATTTGTCTTTTCACACAAACCACACTGCTTTCCTACTGTATCAAGCACAAATAACGCAATATTACTAGAAAGATACTCCTGAGTTTTCCTATCCTGGGGCTTCTTACAAAGCATTTCCAAAGACCAAGGTTCAAGGGCTAGTGTGACAAACTGACACATTAACACCAAACTAAGATCTTGCACTGTATTAATAAGCCCTGTGCTCCTGCATTCCTCCTCACACAATCAATTCATGACTTCCTATTTAGTGTAAACAACAGTTTGTGACTGCATTCAGACTGGGAGACTGGAGTTTGTACAGTACCACCAAAGCTATGGTTTGAATGTCACTTGAAACAAGGGCTGCTTCCACATGGGGGCAATTCCTCATTGCACTGTCGGCAGGAACAGAGGCTCCACACAGGAGATTCTCCATGTTACCTCCTTGTGTTCACCATTCTCCTCCCCTTGCAGCCAAAGTGCTTTTTGCCTGCTTTTTAAGGTACATTGATATAGAAATAATCTGCTATATGGACAGGCCTACCGCCAATTCTTTTAAAGCTGGCAAAAAATCCTACTGGCAGTGGTAGAGAAATGCAATCAGGTGTGAGTGGGGAAGGTGTGGAAATCTCCACCTTCCCATCCACACAGAACCCAAATCTGCCTTGAGTACAATCTTCCCAAAGTGGGGGCTTGGGAAGGCACACAGCAAAGCAGGGAGAACACCATGGAAGGCAAATGGCACGTCAGTGTTCTGCATCAAAAAATCCCCAAACCACTGCAAGTTTTTTGGAGGAAGGGGGAGACACAAAGCAAAACTTCTCTGTGGAAGCAATCCAGAATTGCGAACCAGTTTCAAACCATGATTTCAATCCTGGGAAGAAAAAAACTGTACGGCTTGCTGTTTTGGATATAACAGCGCTCTTTTCTTCATAAAACCCATCATTTTTTCC